AATATTTTTTTAGAAGCAAGAAAGTTCAGATTTGTAGTGGGTGGAACTAAATCTGACAAGCTAAGCTTGAGAACCCATGTAAACTCCGCTTGTTTCTTTAAAGATATTATTATCATCATCCTCATTATGATTATTATTTTTATTTTAAAACAGTTCAGAAGGTGAAATATAGCTCTTAAAAAAATAACCCCTTCTCTTATTGGTACGTCAAAAGAACGACAAGAAAAAAGACGGGTAACTTGGCATTGCGGTCGTGTTTTAGTACGCCAAAAGGTGAAAGGCAAAACCATCATTAATTTCCTGTTTCAGACATAAAAAAAATCATCATAGACAAGTTCTTCTCTATACCGTTATCGCATCATTATTGGGGGGTTTTTTTTGATTGTTTGAGTCTATCTCAGTTCGAAAGGTGAAAAAAAGAAGAAAGGAAATCTCAATAAGACAAAATACACCTCCCGTATTCCTATTATTGGTATGTCAAAAGAGCGTTGCCGAGAACAACCAGACCTAGAAAAGAACAGAGGTTCTGTTCGTTTTCTTCTTCTTTACCATAAATAGTTGATAAAGGAGTTTTGGGATAGATATAGATATTTTCTTCTATAAAGTCATTTGTTACTTCACAGATTTCTGAAAAAAGTTTTTCTTGATTATATGCATTTTCTGCAATATTAAAACTTTTTTTAAAAAATTCAAAATGATAAAAAATCTATCCATCCGCTTTAAGAATAAGCACCGCGAATTCTAACTACTTCAGAGAGGGCTTCTTCACTTAACTCTTCCAAGTTAGTAAAAGTAATCTGAATAGCTATCAATAATTTTTTCTTTATCCTCAATAATTTTATCTTTTTCATTAATAATATTTTAAGAGTATCTTGAAAAATCTTTTCATATTCATTTTTCAAGTTATCTATTACTGTAATATTATTTTTGTTTTGAGCAATATTTAAGATTTCACATTTCAGCAGTATTGTTTATGGTATATTGATTATTACTACGTCACAATCAAAAGCGGAATTTCATACGAGCTTGAAGATTAGTATTATTTATTTCCTGGGAGTAGTGGTATGATCCGTTCAAATCCAAATAAGTAATAGTTGGTGTCTTGGGTATAAGCGGAATTTCATTTCGCTTATCCCAGTATATAACTGATTTATGCTCTGCGATCTTGATATCGTGACCAAGGTATAATACGGATTACACAAGACCAAGTCCTTATCCGTACGGATTAATTTGCTATTCACATATTTTTGAACGGATGGAACGGATTACACGATTCGCATAACGATAATCGACAAATAATTCGCATATTTGTGTACGGGTTAAAAGATTTCGTACGAATATTCCAAATAATATCTTTATTTTTAGTTCCGTTATTCGTTTAACCGTTTAATTATATTATTAAACGAGTAATAAATATTATAAATCGTTTATTATAATGCCCCGTACAGGGGTTACATCAACGTAATTTGTATTTAACGGCGCTATGAAGCTTGAATTGCAGCGATAATAAATAAAAAACCTTCGCAAAACATTTTATAAAAAAGTAAATACTTAAAATTTAATTTTTTATTAAAATATCTCACGACTGACGGTTACAACATAATTACTACAATATTACTTCATACACTCGACACTGCCGCAAAAATTGTAAATTTGGCCGGGTAAAGTTGCTAATAAATAGGGAATATGCCAAGAACAATCCCGCTTCAGCGAAGCCTAAACATAAAAAAGAAAAAAAAAACTGACATAAGTTATCGAAATAATGATAAGCTTAGTAAGTGTGGATAACACGAAGGGATGCTTTAAGCATAGTTTAAACTT